GAGTAATACCTCGAAACCACATATTCAAGCTAAAACCAAAATCTGGTATAGAATTAACTTTGAAAAAATAGTTTCAGATGAAGGATTAAAATATAGCCCTATTATTGGGTTTAGTAAATACAATATTCCCTGATACAGAGGATTATGGCTCAACTAATAAGGCATAAGCATAAGATACTGGACATAATGTAATGGTTTAGTTTCCTATTCCTTAAATTCAGTATAGCTTAGAATTAGTGCATTAAACGATTTTATTGCTGAAATGATAATTTCCTATATGTGAATAGAGATGAGATAACCCGAATGTATCTGCGTTATTAACAGCAACCTAGCGAATAAAGAATCTTAATTAGAGAAAGTATGTCGTAGATGTTTATAAGAACAGGCTGTTTCACGAAGGTAAATTTATTTGGGCAAGGCAATAGCCCATATTAATAAATGTAGGAGGAACACTTACCATCATATTTAGCCAAAAATGCCTGAGCATCCGCATATTGCTGAGCAGCCAGATAACACTCAATAAGATTTTCATGAAGATTAAACAGGTTTAAATTAGGGTACTCCTTGATAAGCTGAAATTTTATTTTAGGCATTAATAAATATATATATATACATATATGATAGGGTAATAACAAAATCTTCAACTTACATCCTTCATCATTTTAATTGCTTCCTTTAATTTGCCCAATTTTCTAGCACACATTGCAATTCTTCGCCTTATGAATATTGAAACATGCAAATCCCGTCTATAAATGGCCTCATGTAAAGAACTTTGGTTCTGAGACTGTTGAGATCTCCTTAGTGCCGATTCGGCAATTTTGTTCGACTGCTTGAGTATTTTTTCAATCTTCAAGAAAGAAGCTTATTTATTTTTACCTCAGTTATAGACGAGCACTCTTCTTCTGCTATTAAAATTGCGGCAGTAGTACATTCCGGATTTCTGGACAGAGCCTCTTTGGCTTTCTTAATTCTTTCTTCGGTGCTTCGTTCTCTCCATGCAAGCTGCATAACTATTATACCGTAAAACTATAGGTAAAGAGACTTACTTTCGTATTCAGGCTTCCCGGCGTCGGCTTCACAAGTGAAAAAAGTTTGATGGTCCTGAGCCGATAAATTCATATCGTAGTAAGTTAATGGATCTTTTCCTTCTTCTTTAAACAGCCTCTGGTACTCGGCACCCCGAAATAAGCAATAAGGGTTTCTACAAACTTTACATTCTGAAAGCAAGATCATGATGTTTTGGTTGAAAAACCTTGGACACTGTTTTGAGGAGCACCGGAGTCTAGGTTATCACAAAAATTATCATCCTCATTTCCACTAATCAAAGGATATATATGAGTTAAAGATATTTGCTCGATAAATGATGTCCCATACTTTTTAAAGTACCACCACTCAAAGACCTGAAAGGTTAACTTGCAAATAAAAACGCACTAGAATCAGCCCAGATATAACTGAACTTGTGCCAGCAAGAGCGGCACAAAACTTGGGTGTTAGTGTGTTAAAAAACATAGGTGCTTAGCCAAAATTAAATGATAATGCAAATACCTTTAGAGACCTTTCTTATTATATTGAACGGTCCGTAGAAAATATAAACTAAAACAGCTAGTAATGCTATCCAGATTATCCAAAAGCAGCTCAATGACCAAGGAATAGAATCTGAAATGAGATCAAAAGCTCGGTGGCCAACGTTCATAGCTTGGAAAGGAAGGCATCGACCAAGGAAATGAAAGGAGCAGGGCACAGGCAAAAGTTGTTGACACAAGCGGGACGATTAAAGGTCGTTGAAAGTTAGCATCAGAGATAGTCAAAATATGCAATTATATAAATGTGTCAACAGCATTATT